ATATTATATTATACAATTTCAATTTTATTCTTCATTTAACTTATTTGTTTGTTCTTGTTTGTGTTTGCTCGCTTGCATGCCCTGCATAGCTATAAGAAACACTTAATTGGTCAAGACACTTTCCATCTGATGAAGGCAAATGCCTTCCCAGATGTAAAAAAGTAGAAAACATTACATTCAGTTATAACTGCCAAAACAAACATTATTTACACTATTATGGCCCCTGTTAAAAATGTTTGTAATGTTATCTACTGTAAATTGGTCGAACGCATGCCTCCTCATCCCGAGCGCATCCGCGAAGCACACAAAATGGCGACGTCAGAGTTCCCGTTAGCCGGCAAATCTAAATATCTTCGGTCAAAATAATTTCCCTTTAGCGCAATACCGCTTCAGTTGCGCCACTTATGTGACAGACAAGAAAAGTATGTGACAGACAAGAATAGTCCATTTTAATGTCTAACACTTAATGTGGAGAAATAGATGTCCTGTGTGGGTTGATTGTGCGTTGATCTGTTGGTAATGCCTCGGGGTTCCGGTGGGCATGTAAACAAATGCATAATGCTGCGCTATACTTTGTGGTCTCACCCAGTTGCATAGCGACACTTATTGTTTAGGTGTCTTTTAATAAGCAGGTAGTCATATCGTTAGCTAGAACTAGCTGGATCTGATCGATATGGACATAAACGCGAGTGAAGTCTAATCTGACGGGAGAGAGAGATCAGCTACTGCTGACGAGTCGACACGCAGCTCTGCATAATCACATGCAGCGGTGAGCGGACAAAACACACACTTCAGGTTAGAATATCGTAGCTATTTTAATTACCTCTCAAACTACCTACACTAGTTATAGATATGTTTAGTTTTACTGTCGGGTCACTCATTACTGGATCCGCCAGCTGCATGATACTGGCATAATAGATTGCCCGATCGGGCAACCAGCAGGTGAGGCTTCATTGCCCGAGCTAAATACTACATGGCCCCGGGCCATCGGGCAGTCCTTAATGTCGAGCCCTGGTCACAGCATGGGAATATTACTTTTATAGTGCTCCAAAAGGAAGGTCAAACAGAAATGGATTCAAGATCATAACAAAATTCAATATGACGCCCCTATAATTTAAATTGTGGTCAGACTTCCCACCTACATCATCAGCTGAATCATTCCCCATCAAAGACGTAGGATCAATAGTTATAGTTATTTTGTATTTTCAGCATTAAAACAACACGTTAACAAAGCACCACTACTGTGAAACCACAACTTAACAGACCCTTGAGTCCTTGACAAAGACTACCGATTCAGCAAAATGGGTTAAACACTGTCACAACCAGTCAAAACCAAAGGAAAATACTGCGATCCAGGATGAATAAACAATATGAGCGTGCTTCACAGCCAGACTTAAAGCAATTATAAGCCTGAAGTCCACGGTAATTTAGGAAATCCAAAACCTCTTGAAACTGCTGAAGCAAACATTTTTCCAGAATTATAGCTGTAAAAACATTTCTTTATGGGACACAAATCTGAAGATTTACCCAGAAGAAAAGCACTAAACAACGACCCACATTTTTAAATGTGAATACCAGTTATGGGTAAGACTGAGCGCCATATTTATGGGTACTTTTATAATCATTCATTAGTATATTTTAGCCATTATCAGAGTTTATAAAAAGGAGAACATTTTGCTTTTAAAGTGAAGTTAAAAAACTGAGTAAATTAATGCCAGCTGCCCGTTCCCCTCTCCATAAAGAATAATAATAAACCACACATTTGATTAGAATAAGTGACTTCACCATGAGCTCTTAATGTGTTTCTCACACACAACCAAAAGTATTCACAAGCTACTGCTAAGCTGTCATTAAGCGTTTGACACAGCGGAGGCTCAAAGGAGGCGCAGTAATGGTCGGTTGTTTCTCATAACAGTCAGATTATCGCCCCGCATGTATGACGTCCACAAAAGCTTCTGGGGAAAACATAGTAAACCAAGTCATTTGGAGGACATTCAACATGGGTGCCAATGCCACTTCACCACAAAAAAGTGTGTGTCAATGTGTGGCATGTATGTTTAGTGCATGTGTTTTGCATATGCTGGCAGAGTGTGTGTTAGCAATGGATGCTGCTGTGGTTGCATACTGGTGTGTACACTGCATGTATAAATATTTGTATGTATGGTTTTATAGAAAACATGTCACGATGATGTGTGCATAAGACAAGAAACAGCCATAGCAATGTAGTTCCGACAATGATCAAATCCAAATATCCATTACTCATCTCTTTACTCGCCACACACACACACACACACACACACACACACACACACACACACACACACACACACACACACACACACACACACACACACACACACACACACACACACACACACACACACACACACACACACACCACACACACACACCACACACACACACACACACACACACACACACACACACACACACACACACACACACACACACACACACACACACACACACACACACCACACACACACACACACACACACACACACACACACACACACACACACACACACACACACACACACCCACACACACACCACACACACACACACACACACACACACACACCACACACACACACACACACACACACACACACACACACACACACACACACACACACACACACACACACACACACACACACACACACACATCGAATTATGCTAGAGTACACATCCTTTCAAACCTGATATTCTTTTTCAAGAGAGGTCAAGTGTTTTTCTTTGCAGGCTAAATATGTTCTTTGCTGGTGGGCACTAATATTTATAGCACAGTGCACTCGCAGTGTAAGGATGATCAGACGCTCATGAAGATTAATACACACGGTTTGAAAAACCTACACACCAGATGTCATGTATGTCACTTTGATTTGTATTTATTCAACATAATGTAAAGAAAGAATATAATGAATTGGATGTATGCTAGGGATAGCTGCAATAGCAGAGCAATGGTGAGGTTGAATAGTCAAAGCAAGTGTTTTTACTACATTTTGAGTTGTTTATTTATATATGTTAGGATACCTGGCGTGTAAACAAAATCAAATCCAAGCCTGTGGAAAGTCTACTGACACAACGGCACTTCAGCTCTGTAACTGACTCTTACTCACTTTCAATTTTTCACTACATTTTACATGTATAAAAACACATAGATGCAGAAAAACTGAAAACACCTTAGATTTGCATTTGTGAGAGTACATTGAAAATAAATAGAGGACATCTGAATGAAGGGTCTCATAGTGCACCATCGTAAACTGCAGCTCCTCTACCAGAAAATATTGAATCACTTGTATTCTTCTTATGAGTACTTTTTCACATTTTGCAATCGCAGGGTACACAGTAAAATCTCCCGTCTGAGGTAAGTTCTTCCTCCGGTGTCTCACTCACTCCCACCAGGATTAATATTACACTGTGTGTTTGTGCAAAGATTCCTTTCAGTATAAATCTAAAGTAATGGTGGAGAATGTAGTTTAAACCCCAGCTCTGTCCCCAAATGGGAGTGTGTAATACGATCAGCCTGAAATGAGGCATGATACAAAAGACTGATGAGTACTGAGATGATATTCATACTGCACTCTCACCATGAGAGACTATAAAACAACAGCAAATGCCTGGAATACAGCTCATATTCATACAGGATAGAGGTAGGAGTACAAATTAAACTGAATAAGAAAATCATATGTGTGCAATATGTTTTAATTTGTAATTGGATCAGTATGTGTGTGAGGAAGGAGATGTTGGGTTATTTTCTTGCACTCCTCAACGAGGCGGAAAACTATTTTAATTCATAAACCCACAAGAAATGTAAGAACTATCACTCAGCTGCCTCACAGACTCAGAACCAAACAGACAGATTTGCCGCGATGTCAATCTGCTCAACATAATGATCAAACGCATAACATACTCTCGCGTTCCCACAACTTACGGGAAGTGAGTTCAAAAGCGTTGCAAACACAATGACACGATTCATTCTGGACGGGATGCTACGGATGGAGAGCTGATCGAGCTCCAACAGATCTCATAACAGCTGAGACGCATCCAGCAGACATATGGTTTGTGTTTAGCGAGGAAAAACAATAATCAAATCCGTTGATCCTCTTCTTGCTGTGAGGATGATTGCTAATATAAAAGTCTGTTCCGTCTAATCATGATTTAGGACGGGGCGGTAATTACCTCCGCCCTCCCTCTCACAACAACACTGTCTAAACAGGATGGAGCAGCAGGGACTCAGTCCAGTTTCCACTGCATGATATGTGCTCATTTCATCTGTGTAATTGTTTTGAAATTATGATTTTCACTGATGAGCCAAAGTCAAAGTTTATTCTACTTTTGTAAGGCAATTGTTTAAATAGGAGCCATTTGAGCATAAAGAGATCTCCATGATTAATATTATTCTAAATTTGAAAGAAAATGTGATTTTTCAATTAATTATTATTGAAAATGTTGTTTTAAACTGTCCAAACTTGAAGATGCCAAGCTCTCCATATTTAGCTAAATGAGCCAACATCACTCTAATCCTCCTGTGAAAACGCTGCCATGCCTTGTGAACATCCTTAGGAAACGCACACTTACTTGGCAGTTTTTACTCACACTGTACATCGCTCACATGGCCTTTGTGTGCAGCATTGACTTTGATTCTGGTGTTATTTATGATTTGGCCGAGGATCCAAGTGAGATCTTGGTTTAATCAACAGACCTAATCCACAAACAGGGCCCTCAACACAAATACACAGCTGCTTCAAAGGATGCTCTCGAGGAGCCATGTGAAAGCAATATTATTGTTGGACTTTATCACAAATAAACCTTGAAACAATTGGTCAAATTGGCAAACCGACCGAAAATGTTATCATTATCCTCACAGTTTGTTTGAATGGGGTCAAACGTAATTCCATTAAATGTGACTCGATTAAATCAACTTTTAAACACGTCAAAGCATCAATAAAACGGGGACTTAAGGGGGCTTACCTTGCACGGGGGGGAGAGACAGGCACGATCGCGGAGCTTTGGCCGCATGATGCGCCTTTTCTTCGGACGCGCTGAATCTCTTCTGGCTGGCGCAGTTCATGTGCGTCGGGGTTTCATTTGGGCTCCGGCAAATCTGCGATCCGAAACCACCGTTGCCGGCTCTCCACGAACACAGGTCCGCCTTGCTGCCGTACACGGAGAGCGAAAGGCCGGGAAAGTCTGAGAAAGTTTGGGTCTGACAGTGGCTCACCATCCCGAACAGCGCTGAGGGGTTCTGCATTGATCACTCGGCTGTCCCATGCAGTGTGCTCACATTACCTGCGAATGAACAATAATGAAATCACTACATTCACTTGAACAAGATTGGAGCAACTGGTGAAAACTTCAGGGATTTGGTACCACCTACCTTATTCAATTAGCCAATGAGGAGCAGCAGAAGCAAATCCAATTGCGCAAATCAGCATATTTATCACAGTGGGAGGAAGAGCGTCTTGCAAGCCTGATCGATAGCATCCTCTCAGTGAGGATCAGTCATCAGCATCCCATGCGTCTCTCCCCCTCCCTCCCCCCCCCCCCCCCCTCTCTCTGATTGGCACCCGGCAAGGCAGCTCCACACTCCGCATGAATCCGGAGCACCAATGGAGAGTGTGTCCGTGTTTCTGTGGGAGGACAGATCTGGATCAAGACAGCTGTGTGTGGTTCTGAGCGAAGAAGTGAAGATTGCGAACTACTGGGGTTATAATCTGTGTGCATGTTGACCAAGCATTCAAAGCTCTATGGAAAAGAAAAGGTAAAACAAAACAAAAAGTGTTGTCCAAGCTTTGGTGCACATCGTCCTCGGTGGGAGATACAACTAACCATTGCCATGTAATGTGTATCACTCAAATGCAGGGTTATATCGATATAACGTGCATTACATTACGTTTAAATGTATGTATAGGTTATTGCCTCAGGCTCTTGACTTACAAAACAGCTGTCGCTTTTGTTTGTTTAGTTGTTTTGCAGTCCAATCCAGATCAATGGGAGGTTGAGACGCACAGGTATGATTGAGAAAATAAAACGAGGATGTTATTTATCATACAGCAGAACATGTAGGATGATTTAAGTTAATGATTTGATATAGGTACACATCCTCAAAAACCTTGAGGAGAATTTGCTTTGATTTTTCGGAGCTGCCCTTATTATTATTATTTCAACCGCATGATTTGTTGAGTATGTTTTGAGTTGGATCATGGAGGAAACTGCAAAAAACTACAGAACAAAAGGATGGATTTGTAATATAGGAATTAATACTGGAACGAAGCTTACTAAAAGTTCATAATTAAAATGCCAAATAATGTCAATGTGCATAATAAAGGAAGGTGTAAATTGTTCTTTCCTGTGATAAACCCAGCGTTGAGAGATGGATATGCGGATCTGCAGCGCCTCTTAGTGGCCTTTCCCTGGAAGGACACATCTTAACCCCGGTCAGAGTTTAAACACATAATTGTGCAAATGCAAGGCGTGTGTGACAAACTGTCAAGTGAAATTGTACATGTGTTATGTAACAGGTGAGTTTTGTTAGTAGGTGCAAGGTGAAGTCCTGGTTGTAAAACCCGAAGAAAAAAAAGTAGAACGGGAACAACTGGTTCTGATGCTGCCTTCACGTGCTGTTGGAAATATGAACCCACGTGATTGAAGAGCTACAAGAAAAGATTGGACACAAAAATGTTCACAATATAATATTAAATGAATCTGAAAACATAAACTGCCCTTTAACTGTAACTCTATACTGATTTTTTAAATATATATCTGTGAACATTGTTAGTAGGCTTTATAACAGATCTAGTTTATTAAAATAAAATAATGAGAATATTCATAATTCTATGATGACATTTTCCTATTACAATTCAGTAATTAAATGGCTTTTTATAATCTCAATGTAATCCTGCAAACATTTTAACTATTGTTTTATCTGGTATATATGTTGAATAACTCTTGAAAAAAACAAATACTGACGTCAAAGTGAAAGAAATGTCTAGAATCCAAATCTTTAATCATTAAATAGGTTGTGTCTGATGTGAGTTTAATGGCTTTTTCAAATGTTTTGCAAGTAACTTAAACTTAAAATCAATAAACTTTATCATAATATAATAATGGAAATAATAGGGTTCTAAATCTGCAAAGTGGCACTGGTTTAACCAGGCACGGTATGTGCTTGTGTAACCTGGAAAATAATGTAAAATAAATACTTTATTTGTGTTTTAGCTCCAGGTATTATCATCAGCATCTCTGGTGTAAAAGCAAACAAGCGTTGACACGCGCTTCACGGAAACCTACCTGAATAATCCACAAACGCTTGGGAAACCCTGCACAGCAAGTTATATCACTTCACAAATACCAATCAAGTAAAGTAAAAACATTTAATACACAATGGTAATAATATCACTATTTACGGTCTAGGACAGTTATCTGCTAGCAAGGAAAGGAAGTGAGGAAAGTCAATGAGGGGGGGAAAAAGTGAATCATTTAGAAGAACTGTAGCCGTTATTTTATATAGTCTGTCTGTGTCCAATAAAGATTAGGTAGCGTCAATAAAACCATTTGGAAAATGTTTGCCAAATTCATTCAATTCTATTTACATCATTTTGGGAACTGGGAAAAAGAGTTTTATGGTGGTTCTCAAATGGGGGTACGCGGGCCCCTAGGGGTACGTTGGAGTACTGCAGGGGGCACGTGGGATTTATTTAATGTTAATGAAAAAACATAATTAATGCATTTAAACAAACTACTAATAGTAGATTAACTACTTAATTCAAAAGTTTACAGTAATTCTGGATAATAAAATGGGAACAATAAACAGGGTGCTCTCTTTTCCTCTCCCTCTCCTGACAGCCCGTCAGTCTCGTGCAGCTCGTTGAACCTGTAATGAGTGACCCGACAGGAAAGAATACATATAATTATAACTAGTTTAGCTAGTTCCAGAGTAGATAAACTAGCTAAGTGTGTTAGGTCTAACTCTTAGTGTATTTTGCTCCACTCAACGGTCCGTCACAGCGGACGGAGCTGTGATCATGCAGAGCTGCGTGTTCTCCGTCAGCAGCAGCTGATCTGATATCTGATCTCTCTCTCGCGTCCGGTTAGACTTCACTCGCGTTTATGTCCAAATCTATCAGATCTAGCTAGTTCTAGCTAATGATATGACTGCCTGCTTATCAATGGACCTAAACAATAAGCGTTGCTTGGCAACGGCGTGTGGCTGCAAAGTATAGCGCAGCATTATGCATATGTTTATAGGAGGGCCGGGTCAAAATCCCATGCTCATAAAATGCTCATATTTTTTCTCTTCATTCCCCACGCCCCAAAAATAAATAAATAGATATACCAATTTTAGGAAAAGTAAGGAAGTTTGAGCAGTGTGGGTTTTATATGAACAGAGTTACACATATTTCAAAACGTGAAGTGTTATAACTGCAGTTTGCCTCCCTGTCAGAATGACAAAGATCCTCAGTGAAGCACATGATTCTCACTACATTGTACAACTTATTAAAAAGATCAGTTCAATGCAACTAATGTCGTCTTAGTGTTATTGCTTGATGTTAAAATTGGTTTGCCATGAATTTAGTGATGGATTGTAAACATTTGAAATGTAGCATTTAAGTGTTCCTCAGTTACAATGTTGTTGTTTTTAATAAATCAGACACTGATGGTGCAGCGCTGTACTGTACCTCTTTATATAATATGCTTTTTGTCGCTAACAAATTGTTTTTCCGCTGATCAGGGTGTACTTGGCTGAATATTTTGTTCAAAGGGTGTACATTATTGAAAAAAGTTTGAGAACCACTGGACTCTAGATGGCATGACGGTTGCTTGTTCCTTTTTAAAGATAACATTAATTTAGCCAGGAAGACACATCCATCACTGGGGAGGAACATCCTGAAGGACGTGTGCCAGACCTTCATGTAAATGAAAAACTTTTTCAACATTTAAATATTAAAATACCCATAATTAAATCTCAGAGGAGAAATGGACTGGCCTATCCCTGAAGGCTCAAACACATAATCTTTAGTTGTACTTTACATTTTAATTTGTAAAAAACATTTAAAAACACTACACCAAGTATGCTAGACACAGGCTTTAAATGCAACAGTGACAAAGGAGCACTTTTAAGAGGGTAACGTGGTCAAAGGTTTTTGACATGTTACGCCAGATAACAAAACTGAAATTACCCTGTAGGCAAAAGTTGAGCATCCTTGGTATCACTCATTCACACTGACTTTATCGACAATCACGGTGACTGTCTCACAAACAGATATATGCCTCAATAAAGGATATGTTGCTGTGAACAAAATAACATTACAGAAGGAAATCAGGCTGAGGCAGTTTTAAATAAATATATGTATATGGCGGAGATTTATTCTTTCAAACAAATGATTGGTAATAATGACCCATGAAGACTAGGCAGGTGCAACTTGAATAAGATTAAAACGTTGTATTGTCTATTTTAATTAACTTGGTCATAATTGAAAAACCCCAATTAACATGTTATTTATAGAACATCACCAGTAATTGACCTAATGTATTAAAAAGCATGATTTGATATGTTGATACAACACTTTTCAAAGACTTAAATGAATCTTGATGAAAGTTTGCTGGGGTTTTTTAGTGAGCAGCATTAATTTCAAATGCATGATTTGTTGTGTGTGTTATCCATGTTGGATCATTAGTCTACTTGACTTCCTGCAAATAGTTACTGAGCAAAATGATGGATTTGTAATATAGGATTTAAAACGGGACCTTGGTCTGCTTAAAAGCAAATCATTACAACAAAAAAGAATAACATGCAAAATTGGGTCAATGTTCATAATTAATTAGGCTTTAAATTGTTCTTTCCTATGATAAACCCAGGGAGCTGGTTAATCTGGAGCAGTTTGGGTTGGGAATGGTATTGTTAGGGTGAAAAAATGCTGTTCTGCAGCCTAATGTATTAAAAAGCAGTAGAAAAGTAGCTAGCTATTGACTAATCAAAGAGCTAACGTTGACTAGACTTGGTGGTGGAAAAACGTTTGACGTTAGCTTGCTAAGAAGCATTTTATGTAATGTAGAAAAAACCTTTGTATTTAAATCACACTTACTTTCGGCATGTCGGGAGAAAGAGGACTGCAGTCGGAGGCCCGTCCATGTCGCTCAGTGTCTCCAAAATATCAATGAGGAATTTAAGAAGCTAAGCAGTTGTTTGCTAACACGTTAGCTAGCTAGCCATTGAAGAAGCTCAATAGCTAGCGCCATTTTAAAAGAAACTAACTGCTAATTAGTTCTGGCAGTGACACCCTCACACTGCTAGCTTAAATGGGTAACGTCTTATTACTATGCTTATTATTCATTATAACTTTATATTACACAAATACACTTTTTTTTAACAAAAAAATATTGTAACATTTCGAATCGTTAAAAAACCTAGCTAGTAGGCTTGTTTGAGACACGTTGCGGCTCGCCTCGAAAGTAGACGAGAATAGCCGATCGCAGCCGGGGGAGGTCTCAAAAAGCTCGCCTGAAGTCGGACAGCTCGGAGTCGGCTTCTTCTTCTTCTTCTTCTTCTCTCGGTTATTTGGCGGATTGCAAACAACTTTAAGGTGCATACTGCCACCTCCGGAGTCGGCTTGACTCGGTTTGCATTTATAAAGAATGCACACATGTGTTTAATCGTTCATGTCAGATATGTACTAAGTAAATACATTTGTTCCTGCTCAAGATTAGATTCTACTTCATTGGTATTGCACAGATTACAGGTACTGAGACAACAAAATGCAGTTTAGCTTCTAGCCAGGTGCAACAAGCAATAAAGTGAAAAGTAATGTACACAATAGACAGAATAAAATATAGAATGAATTGAATGATGAATAAACAGTGAGGGGTATGAATACACTAGATGTCAGCCTGTGAGCAGTATGAACAGTGTGTATGAATATGCTAAAATATATAAAGTATGAAAACGGTAAGCAGTGCAAGTATAGTATACAAATATAGATATTAATTTCATGATGATAAACATTGTGGAACAATGATGAAAAATATGAATGGAAGTGGCGATGTAAAACTGACACAAAACAACAACAAACTTTTGCCGAGCCAATTGGAGAGTTTCATCAGCAGCACGTGGAAAAAACCCACCAATGAGCGCTCAGCTCGAGATACCAGCGAGTCGTTTCCCATCAAGCATTTCGCTTCCGCAGCCCGTGGAGAGGAACTGCGCCGCCTCGCCGCGCCTCGCTCTCTCAAGGCTGCGGGCGTCTTTGTCCCGCGAGATTTCAACGTCTCATGTAGGCGAGCCTCCAGAGCAAGTCGGACAAAATGACTAACCATCATGCAACGTACGAGCAAGACGTTGATCGAAATTGCGCAGGTCTGCGCAGGTCTCGCTTGTCTCAAACAAGCCTAGTGTTTTTGCAGGTGAATGAACCGCTTGCCCACTCAACGGAAGGCGACAGAGATCAAAGAGCTGCTGAAGATAAATGATCCCATTCATGTTCTAACGTTGGCGAATCAAAGTCTGTACATTAGAAGTATTGGATTAAGTGGTTGGTTACATTTTGTTTGACTCATATTTAGGTAGTTAAATACACTTTTGTGAGACTGTGAGAGTCTGTGTAGCATATCGAGAATCCACCTTTATCCGTTTTATCAAGACACTCGCCGTTTCTCAATCACGAGTAAAACTGCTGCAGAGCAACTATTTCAAGTATACTACGTCATCGAGTGGCGCCGAATGACTGTTTAAATGCATGTTAAATGCATGGGTTAAATCCATGGTTAAATCGGTTAAATGCTCTTATTATACATCCATGGTTAAATGCCCAGCATTCTGCGCCACTCTATGACGTAGTATACTTGAAATAGTTGCTCTGCAGCATGTGTACTCGCGATTGAGAAACGGCCACAGTGTTCAGTGATCCTACAACGTATTTTGTAGGCTTACTTCGGATCTAGAAAGTACATGTTCTTAAAAGAGGCCATGAATGCATCTGTGATCGAACGTTATCCGAGTGGGCGTTAACCCACATCATATCTCTGGTTCACAACAGGCTCTGTGCAAACCATAGACTGTATATATAAAGGTGCAAACACGGGAGTCCACCACCAAGGAGCAACCATGTCTTCGAACAGGTTAATGGTTTATTTCACAACAGCATGCATATGTTGCTTCATGGTGGGAATCAATATCATACTGGGCATTATGCTGTACGTATCACCGCGTCTCGCCAAGAAGCTGATCCTCAAACTGGGTGAAAGAGCCACCATGACCCAGAATCCTAGTTTTAAGTTTGAAGATTGGGGTCCGACCTTTGGCACCTTCATGTTCTTCAAAACTGCCTCTCATCAGATGTGGCTGTCCCTCGGACAAGAGGCGTTTGTGGGAGGAGAAGCTCCGGACACAGATGTGGTCAGCATGGAGGGAACGAAATCAAGAATCAGCCGGTTCGTGAAAGGTACGTGGTGAGATGTGGTGTTATTGTCTGATTATATTTCTCCATGCTGCTAAATGTAGAGCTGTATTTTTTCTCTGCAGACAACAGAATGCTGGTGTTGAATTTCGGAAGTTGCACCTGACCCCCGTTTATGTACAAACTTGAGGAGTTCAAGCAACTCGTCAAGGACTTCAGCGATGTAGCCGACTTTCTTGTGATCTACATCGAGGAGGCGCATTCAACAGGTAAGTGAAGGCAGCACGAGTGCCAAGTCAAGTCATTGTTTTATCACCATGAATGTATTGATGGAGGAACTATGCATACAGAGTAAAGGTAAGGTCAACAAAGAAATAAAGTGCACATTGGACAATAATAAAGCACAATTAAGAAGATAAGATAAAGATGCATGAGTGCCTTATTATAATACTTGTTTGTTACCGAAATAACTTAATCATCTATATTTATTAATGTCCTTTAACACCCTAACCCTACTTTGTAAAAAAAACGTAAATGCAGCAAAAATATATGTTTTGCATGATAACATCCCTTAACTATTGTGATTGAATACATTAAAAACTCTTATGTTGAGTCTTGTTTTGATTGCATTCTATGTTCTTCCAGAGCACTTGAACATTGGGTCTTTGAGTTCAGCCCTTTTTGTGGCACTGTGCATTGAGTTCTGGCAGCAACACTGACATAATCTGGGCTGCATTCACTACAATAAAATGCTGCAATGCACTTATGCAATATCCATAAAACTACTTTTCTTATGTCATCCATAAGTTGGAAGTTGTGCTTCAGTGTACAGTTAAAATCACATTTCTATTCTCTGTGTCAGACGGTTGGTCATTTGCAAACAACATCGACATCAAGAAGCACAAGAGCCTGGAGGACAGGCTGTCCGCGGCACATATCCTGCTCCAAAAGGACCCCCTTTGTACGGTGGTTGTGGATGAAATGGACAATGCTGCTGCCATAAAGTACGGTGCTCTGCCTGAGAGGCTCTACGTGCTGCAGGCTGGGAAAGTTGTCTACAAGGTGAGATCTCTCAAACAAAAGCAAATATTTATACTTTTATTTTATGTATAATGATTGGAGAGTTTCCAAGTAAATGTTCTTTCACTGCACACTCTACGAGCACATAATGCCTCTAAATTACCGTGGCTAGACAGTAGGGCTCCTTTCATGCGATCACGTGAATTAAAATAATTGCAGCATGCGACATGTTCTCACGCATGAGGAGGAGCATTGATACATAGACACAACAATCTAATTCTGGGCAAATGTCATGGACGTTATAGCGTGTTCTTTCTGAACGTGGAACATGTTATTTTCTTATGCGTAACATGTATCTGTGTTTCTCTAGGGGGGCAGAGGACCTTGGGACTACAATCCAATGGAGTTGCGTGCGTTCCTGGAGAAAATAAAATAAGACAATCCGACCAGAATGCGATGTAAGGGTCTCGGATTTCTCATTTGAATATGGGTATAACATTATAACCAACATAACTGATATACAATACATTACTTATTAATCAAGACTATAATGATTACACTGCTACATCAGCTTGTGGCTCTAACTGCTCTCTAGCATCTCTTACATTACATATGAGAAGAGACATTGTAACCCTTACAAACTTGCACTAGTATTGCTTCCAGGCTCTCCTGTACTCTGTAAACATACCTCTACTGCCAATCTGTGAGTTTGAATTCGCCTCTCAGTGTTTCTTAGTGATGGCTGCAGATGAAACCGTTGGCCTCTGCAGCCCGATGGAGTGAAACACACACAGACAGTTCAGTCAAGAGTTTGTGTTTGAGGTATCACACAATGTTCAGGAGATGTCCCCGAAGTTGTCTTATTCTAAAGTTTAAAAGGCCTTACCGTCCAAGTCAAAAAACACATTTGTTCCCACTTCTCTTGCAGATCATATTTTCTGTTCATAGATTTCTTTTTGTACATAAACTTTCAAAACAGTAACATACATGATAAAAACCCGGAATATCGACACTAACAAAAAAGCATTATAAAAAGAACCGAAATAAAACAAAGTGCAATCAACAAGTGTATATGGAAAAAAGGATATTGGTTTGTTGTGTCTGAATGCTCCTATGTGGTTTGACAGGAGTCTACTTTATATATGATGGTTACAGTGCAAACCTCTGGTGACTGTAATTTGATGAGTGATGACTCGAAAAGAGGCCTTCTCTGAATTATGTAGGAGCATTCTCGATTACACTTTAAAAACAAAATATTCATCATGTTAAACAGTCTGCATGTTGTTTTGAATATTTTTATATCCAATGTTTTCACTATGGTATAATAAAGAACAAAATGTAAAGACTCATGTTGTCAATTTATAAGCATATGACCTATCATGTCGTGCAGTTCATCAATTACTTGTTTTAATAGGATGATCTGCAAAGTTCCATGTTTTTTGAGAAGACATTGGCTGCAGGTCTGTAATGTTGGCACACACACAGCTGTGTGACACTGCAGGACTCTAACTTTTGTTTGCTGTCTTGTCTGGAAGTGATAAATGGTAAACCTAATGAACCGTATGTGGCAAGTCATGCTGATTTCAACAAATCCAATGCACACACACATATTTGAATTGTAATACAGGTGCTGATATGGGTTAATACCTAACTTTCTAATCTTCGCACCACAAGTATTTTAGCTACCAGTGTGTCTACAATTATTTAAAAGGCCACTACAACATTAACCATTAATCCGATGTGAGTTTTATTTCAAGGCAGAAGTATTATTGATGTTAATGGTGAAGAAGGAACGGTTTTGATTATGGAAAATGCTGAAGATGCAACTGTCAAATATAGTTGTATTTACCACAAGGTAAGAAGAATCAAATTCACTACTTTTTAACAGTATTTTTATAATTTGTTTATATTGGCTTTCCTATTGTCTTTGTTGTTGCTTTTGCCTCCCCTTCTCTTCACAAACAGTAATAACCTGTATATATACATTTGGCTACAGTTTAAAATGTGTTCCTGTTTTATTTTTCATAATGAATGCAATAAAACAGCAGCATTGCTGGTAATATTAATACATTTAATTTCCAAGCCTTTTTTCATGTGCTCAAAGACGCTTTACAGTGGTGATAAAACGAGATATCATAGAATACAAATTTAAAAATAGCAACACAACACAATTCACAGTCTGGAGAGGTGAGTTTTGAAGGTGGGGGGGGTCGGTGCAGTCTGATGTGTTGTGGAAGGAAGTTCCAGATGTTGGCCTTGACTTGTCTGATCAGTATGACTAAAGTGACTGAAAATAAACCCCTTTGAAAACAGTAATATCTTAATATATAAAGCACAAAAGGATCATGTGACACAAATCAAGAAAGACTACAGCAAATAAAATGATCATAGCTCATGGTTACAAAGTGTTATGGTTTTCATTATGGTTATTATTAGTCAACAATACAACACAGTATTTGTGTTGCTGCAGCTTTTTATAACCTATGTGGCTCTAAAGTCAAAGGGAAGCTTGGCCACATCCTGTGACAGCAGTTTAGCCTCACTTCCTGTTGTTAGACCAGAGCCAGCACAACACTGTCCGATCCTCCCAAAACATGGACCTTTTGTTAGGATCCACGTCTAAATCTTTAGGTTAATCAAATGAACCGTGTGTTCAGTAGCTTTGAGGGAGTGGAAATATTGTCTGTAGGCCAGAGGTCTCTGCAGGAGGGTCCTCTGCGCCCACCAGAGGGCAGTGTGGAGCCATCTTTACTCCAACAGGAGAGCAACATATGAGGCTGTTTTTCATTTTGGCTCAGATATTGGAGAGACCCATCTGGCGGAAATTGTATCATCTTCAAAATCAGTCACTTTTTTTTTTACTATATTTGCTTCTGATTTACCAAACTATGATGAGATGTCATTATTTCACTGACCAACTTGTATTAAAAGCAACAGATGCATCATTTTAGGACTACTATGAAGCGTTTGAAAGGCTTTTCAGATGCCTTGTGCTGAAGAAAGGGCTTATTTTTTTGCCTTTTAGATTGGTTTTCCTGATAATATTGAACATTTAAAAAAGTATTAAAAACGGCAAAATTGGCCTAAAAGATAATAAGTTCCAGAAAGCACACATATGATCTCAACAATAGAACTTGAGCATGGACTCTAAGCTCAAGTTGTATCTATTTAGTGACCAACCTTCGAGCTGTATCCCACAGCTTTGTCCAGCAGGTGGATACAATATCTCAACTTAACAAAAAGTAAGACAGCTCCCAAATGAATCCCCCTTAAAGATCCTCCACCCAATTAACAATGCCTCGATGGTAGTGGGTTGTTGGGCCTCTCAACACTCTACTACCAAACAGTGTCAAGTGTTTTTGAAAGTATAACCAGTGTTTTTTTCCTGTCCTTTTAGTTTGTGAACATAATTTATAACAATCATTTGAGCAACTCGTTTGTTTCGATTTAGATCTTTACGAAACTAACTCCATCTAACTTACTCAGGGGAAAATCCAGATAGTAAACCCTTTTTCTCAGAGAGAAACTAGGAAAACACAAATCTTGGTTGCATAAAGCATGTATGTTAGATCATGAAGAAATTAAGTCTGGCCTTGATTCAGAAAATGGATGACAAGAAGTTAGAAAGCCAACTCATCCCCGAAAATCTTGATGGCTCTGTCCTACACCTGTAATTTCCCACATAACAGCAATAAGCTATTCTGTTCAGACTGTGCAAGCGGGATATATCCCTCTTTTCATTTGGATGCACTAGTTTAATACTAAGTATATGCGTAACTTAAATAACTTCATGTCCACATCTTCAGTGGCATATTCTAGTAACTCTAAAATGATATGGATTTACATTCAAGTAAAAATAAAAACAACCAACACAAGTAGTTAAGTTATTGTAAAATTATATTAACAAGCAATCTTTCCTCAATTTGAAATAAAAAAATATCAGCAAATAAAGGCAACATAGGACAGATGTATATAATGCGTAATGTTCACAGAAAAAAAACAAATTCTCATCACATTTACAAGACTGCTGCTAAAGTTTATAATGATGCCTACTAGAATCGGTTTTAGAAAGCTTTGACTAACTGAATAACTGGGGCAATATATGTAGTCAAAGATTGTATCAAAATATAAAAAAAATGTGTGGGCGGGCAAAACGGGGGCAAGGATGGGGGACGACCAACGATACAGGAGGAACAACCAATATGTATGAGATTAAAATGGGGCCGCTCATTCATAGCATCATAATCAACCAAAACTGGAGAAAACACAGAAGGCTACGACGATGAGGAGCACAGAGCGTTAAGCACAGACAGGTAAAGAGATACACACCACATCTTAAAGCAGGTGTCCACAGAGAGAAGAGCAGCACTAGGTAGTATGTTGTACACAGATTCTCAGCATTCATGCACTCACTTCTTATGCCGAAGTCTGGTTTCCCTTGCACAGCGATCTAGGCGTTTAAATTAAATGAGCCAAGATCGCATCGCTGTCAGCAATAAGAGACTGGAATTGATCAAATGGGATCAATTTGACATATAGTAAGAACCATCTGAGCACTTACATACCGTGAAAGGTCGTCACAATAAAAGCCATAATCTTTCAAGTCTTTCCCCCCCTTTTTACAAACCTCTTTAAATAGAAGGGTGGGCATTGGGAAGGATGGTACATTATCTATAAAGGTGGCCACAAGAGTAAAAGGCAAGAGTCCTATGTCAGCTGACTTGTGACAGTTTGCATGGCGAGAAGTAAAAGGACAAGACAAAGACTTTCCAAGCTCACAATGCATATGCACACTCTCCAGTGTTTTAAGGGACAAAAAGCGGAGACATTTTCCTGCACATCTTGCACCACAAAGCAATAATTAAAAAGTACAAGAGGTAAAACCCCAAACATATTTTTCTCTTTGCTCTAGAGCTGAAGGAGGGGGAGGAGGGTCATGGGGGGGGGGGGGGGGGGGGGGGGCGAGGGGCTCTGCAAAGAACGTAAAACGTGTCATGTATGCATTTCAGTAGCTGGTTTCGTCACACTTGGGATTGTGATAAATGGAAATATTGTCCTTCGTTTTTGAGCAAGGAGCAGCAGCCGTTTAGATTTTTCTCCCCGATCAGCATTCTGGCGTTAGTGTGGAACCAAAATGGCGCCTGTCCCTGATTCGGTGCTGATGTGTTTGGCCGTGTCCTATAGTGAGTTCAGATCCTCGGAATGATGGCATATCATGTCGGGCGGGGCGGCGGGGGGGTCACACACTCATCGTCATGGTTGGAGAGTACTGGAGAGGCACATAAAAGAGCATTAACACACACACACACCTTTCCCCTACTGTAGTCAGAGCAGGGTTTCCGCTAGGATTTTTTCTCGCCGGTCAAATGTCCGGACAGAATTTATTTTACCGGACAAATTTGAAACTTACCAGTCATGTTTCAATAATAATAATAAGAGTTGTGTAGCAGAGTTTCCGTTAGCAGGTAATTACCGGACTATGACCGGATATGCTGATGTTTAAAAGCAGTCATCTTTATATTGCTTCAGTTTATAATCGTAACAGATCGAAAAATGCAGATTCATATTTCAATAAATGATTCAACAAACATAATTATTACATTCATACAAACTACTTTTAGTAGATAAAGTACATTATTCAAAAGTTTACATCAACTTTGAATAATAACACGGAAGAAACGGATCCTCTCTTCCTCTCCCTCCCTCTCTCTCCTGACAGCCCGTCAGTTTCTCATGCAGCTCGCTAAACAGTGGGCGGGGCTTCAGGTGATCATGCAGAGCTGCGTGTCGACTCGCGTCCGGTTACACTTCACTTGCGTTTATGTCCGTATCGATCAGATCCAGCTCTCCTGATCGGCCTTCATAGAGAGCACCGATCAAACTATTAAGAGTGAATATCGGCCGATAATGACCGGCGGCCGATCGATCGGAGCATCCCTAATTATTACCAGACATTTTGACCGGCAGGTTTTGAATTTACCGGTTTTTAATACATTTTACCAGCTAAAAAAACGGTAATTACCGGCTAACGGAAACCCTGAGTCAGGGATGTGAATATGAGGCTTTTCTATGTGCTCTACTTCTGTGTCCATCAAAGTACAGTCACCCACCGTCCAGTGATGTTAGCTGAAGAAACTTACGTTCTCGCTCTGAAAGGAGTGGAGGAAGTTTCCGCTCAGCTCCCCGTCGTCCCTCGGGGTCCCAGGAGGATTGCTAATGCCACTTAAATTGTTTGGAGAATTCTGGAAACAACAGTTCACAATGTGATAAGTATAAAACCGATTAACGATTAAGCTTGAAATGTAAAAGCTCTCCGCAATATTTACCTTGTTCATTCCATCCATGT